TCACAGTCCCCCCGTCCCCCCCACCTCACCGTCCCCCCGTCCTCACAGTCCCCCCGTCCTCCCCTCCTCACCATCCCCCCCACCTCACCGTCCCCCCCACCTCACAGTCCCCCCACCTCATCGTCATCCCTGCCTCACCCCCCCGTCCTCCCCACCTCACCGCCCTCCCCCACGCCTCACTCACCCCCCCGTCCCCCCCCGTCCCCCCCACCTCACCTGCATCCGAGCCGTAGTCCAGGTTTCCCTTGTGGTGGAGCCTCAGAAGCTGAGCCGGATGCAGCGAAGCTGCTTCCAGAGCTTCTTCTACGCTGCAGCCTGAAGAAATAAATACAGTGGAAACGTACTTGAAGGACTCAGAACAAATGACATTATTTAAATATTTAGCACAGTAAATTTCAGTATCAGGGCGGCTCGTTGTGCAGCTCGCAGTGACGTTCTACTTTAGGACCATTGACGCGGTTTGACGTGTTGAAACTGACCCGTCGCGTGTTTGAAGTGTCGCACACACGTGTCCATCGTAGCGATGCTGCCGCTGAGCGTCTTCGTGCCTAAAAGACAGAAAACACTTCACAGATGAGACAATTACAACCAGCGACGTCCCCATGTGACATTAACAGCCAATCAGTGATCGGATCCACGGGAGGAGGAGGAGCTTAAACACCTGCCACATAGGCGTGCAGACCCTGGATCTCGATGACCTGCTGGCCCAGAGTGCGACGCCCGGGGGGGAGACCCATCGCCATGATGGCGTCCGTCACCAGCACCAGACCTGAAGACACAACGGGAGGCGACATCAGAGCTCGGTCGTCTGGGTGACGTGCACCACGGCGACCTCTGACCTTCGGGGTGCGCTCGGTGGGCGATGCGCAGCGCGGCCGGGTTGGTGTGGATCCCGTCCGCTATCATCCCGTAGAACACCGTCCTGCCCGAGGGCACGCGGTCACTGGTCAGGAGACCCACAATGCCCGGGTCACGGTGGTGGAACTGGGGCAAGAGGAGACGAGGAGTTGTAGTACTTGTACTAAGTATATAGAGTAGGAGTACTAGTACCAGGGTTTGAGTACTCACGGGCAGCATGGCGTTGAACAGGTGAGTGATGAAGGAGGCTCCCTGATCGACCGCCTCCTCGGCCTGAGACAGGTTGGCCACAGAGTGACCTGACGAGAAAACACGGAGATACTACAACGCGTACTCCCAAATGCCACAATGACAATAGTACTGTGATACTATGGAGTACTGTGGGGAAAGCAGCCTGACCCAGAGACACGGTGACGCCCCTCCGGCAGAGCTCCCTCACCACCGATTGGCTGCCGGCCAGCTCCGGAGCCAGCGTCACCATGGCAACGTTGTCCAGGCTGCCGTAGGCCGCCATCAGGTCGTCTATCCCTCCGGCCTGGAAGGTCCTCAAGAAGCGCTCGGGGTGGGCTCCTTTCTTCTCCGCGCTGATGAACGGGCCCTCCAGGTGGAGCCCTGGACGTTATATATATATAAATACACACACACACACACACAAATCCCCTCCTGCTCCGTTAGAAATGACATCGTACCAAGAACTCCGGCTCCATGTGCTCCTCCATCATGAACTTTGACCTGTGGCAGAACCTGAAACACAGTTTCATTCTGATAGTTATAAACAGGAGGACAGAATTTGGTCCATAAGTTATAGAAACACATCTTACGGTTTGTAAGACATCGATTCCAGGTTGCGTTCGAGGACTTAAAAGGACTCGCCTTGTGATAGACGGCAGCAGGAGACGTGACCAGCGTGGGACAGAAGGACGTCACGCCGTGCTGGAGGATCTTCTTGGACACCAAGGACACTCCTGCGCTGACGTCCTCTGAGGCCTCGGAGAAGTCCACTCCGTAGCCTCCTAAGGACAGAGGACGGGCTGGTGAGGACATGTGTGACTATTAACGCGGGTGTGTGTGTGCGTCTGTGCGTCACCGTTGATCTGCACGTCTATGAACCCGGGCGCCATGATGCTGCCTTCACAGTCCACTCGGTCGTCAGCGTATCCTTGTTCATCGAAGAAAAGCTTCTCTGGGTCCAAGATGCTCCCAGAACGCACCCACAGGTCCTCCCTACACACAGGTGGTGTCCTGCCAGTCAGCGTGTACTCTCAGCGTGTACTCTCAGCGCGTACCGTGTGTACTTTACCTCTGCAGCCGGCTCCCTCTCAGTATCCTGCAGTTGACGAACTGAGTGATCGGAGCATCGGACACCGACTTGTTGGACGGCATGTTTGTCTCTCAGCAGACGGAACGGGACAAACGCCGGCCACCCGGCTTCAGAGGTCCGGCAGAACGAATCAAGCGCTCCTGTTAGACATGCTGAATTATGATGTGACAACAAAACTGAACGTGTGTAACATATGTGTGTACACACACACACACACACTATGACCCACCGGGACCAGGACCGCTGAGTCTGCAGACCCCCTGGACGTGTTTACAGGTGTGAATATCCTTTAACAGAGGAACCGGTCTTATCTTATGGAGGTGCAGCAGCTGACTTTGACCCCTGGTCCAGCAGGACGAGCTTTACTCACCTGTGTGTCTAAGCGACGCGCGCACAGAAACAAGCTCTCCAGGTGTCAGCGGCTGTGACGTAATGTGACGTACCGCGAGGGGGGGTCCAGGTGTCCCTCCGGCGGGCACTAAACGCTCTCAGGCGGGTTGTGTCGTCGCCACGTCGCTGTTCTTCCTGAAAACACACCAGCGAGTCGCTTTATTCCGACGTTTTCTGTCCGTGTTTCCATCCGGCTGCTGGAGGCACCGAACCGACCACAGTACTACTACGTGTACCGCTCAGTAGTACTGCAGTACTCGTCCGGTGTACCTGCTATAGAGGGTCACGTTACTTCAGCTGAGTCCGTGGACCACGGGCGGTGGGAACGGATGTCACGTGACACGGCGGAGCTGCAGGTCAGCTGATCGAAACACGTGCAGACTGAAGTCTGATCTCTTTTACTGAGGAAACACCGTAATATTACGGTACAAAAATACTCAACGAAACACTTCAAGTTCTGCTTTAGAAACACGTCAGTAACACGAAGTACTTACAGCTGCTTGTGTTACAGCTCTAAAGGTCCGGGTCAAATCTCGCTAAATGGGAAGGTTACGCCACCTGGCGTCGTAAACGCGTACCTGTACAGGAGCGTAGACGCAAGGCACTATGGGTAATCCTTAACGCAACGGAGGACTCGCTACTGGGCGGCGCATGCGCAGTGTCCGCGAGATGACCATTCCACGCGCTCCTCTTGTCACGATGAAACTCAGACACGCACAAGTACCGTGTTCTGCTAACGCCAGTAGAGGGAGCTAAAGTACAACATGTACACACAAACCTCACTGCTGCACACATCGGGTACTATTGAGCAGTACTGATGAACACACGTTTTACGGTGTTACTTTGTTTTTTTACGTCCAGCCCCCCGTTAAGAGCTCCTCCCACAGCTACACACACTCACACACACACACTCACATGCACACACACACACTCACATGCACACACACACACACACACACACACACTCACATGCACGCACACTCACGTGCTCACACACACACACACACTCTCACGTGCACACACACACTCACATGCACACACACACACGCTCTCACGTGCACACACACCCTTCCTGAAAGTCCACAATAAAGCAGGTTTCCAGTAAGCCGGATGCCTCCCCAGGTCTTGCTCATCACCATGGAGACACTACGAGGGCCCAGCCGGGCCACCCATGGGGAGACCAGCCTGTCCCCCCCCCCCTCAATATGGATCAGAGAGTCCATCTCCACAGAGACACTGTGTGTCTCCAAACAGAAGACCTATTTGAGATTCCAGAGAACCCCCCGGCCCCCCGGCCCCCCTCGGGAGAGTCAATGTCTCACTTAACTTTGTCTAATTCATCTCACGTCATCTTAGATTAACACTTAATTTATTGAATTTCATCTTCTTCTTTCATCAACTTCAACTAACTCATCACATCTCGTGTCAATTTTACTGATCTCATTTGGTCTTAATTGATCTTAATTGAATCTTAACTGATCTTCAGTTACTTTAAATCTCTTGATGCATCTTCAGCCATCTTGTTTTTAACTATTTACACATTAAATGTCCATCAAACAGCAGTTACATGTTCTGTCTTCATGGAGGAGGAAGTCCCCCCTCTGATGTGATGTGAGGGGTTTGGGTCGTTTGCAAACAGGGGGGACGGGTGGTCCGGGGGGGGGGGGGTCCTATCCATTAGCAAACAAAGCCTCACTACACAGCGACACGTCGTCTGATTCCTGCTCTCACTGATCTGCTAAATCTGTTGTTACTGATTGTTCCTGATGGACAACCTCCCCCCCCCCACCCCCCCCGAACCAACCCCCCCTCCACTAGTTTGTGACGCGGACAGACAGGACGCTCCATCACAACACAGAGAAGCCTCCATCACCCTTCTAACCATTATTCAGGTCCCAGTTAGACAGGACATCGTGTACGTATTCATACCTGTGCTCCTCCTGGGGGGGTTGCCAGCAGTAAGGGGGGAGAAAGATGGGGGTGTTCTCGTCTTCCTACTTTCTCTCTCTCCACCCGACATCCACCCTCGGGCCTGTTTGCATTCCTCTCAGTTAATAAGTGTTTGTCTGATCCCTGGTGGAGGAGGGGGTGTGAAGATCACCTCCCCCTCGACTCACCCAGCTGTGAAGAGGACAGCACTGATGCTGAGAAGGTGGATGAAGAGGAGGAAGAGGAGAACTTCCCAGACACACTCCTCAGCCGTTGACTTATTGAATTAACTTCATGTAAGAACACACACACACACACACACACACACACACACACACACGGTGTGAAGTGAAGAAGTCTGCACAGTTTAAATGTTGGTGAGCTGATCAAACCGGAGGAGGGCGTCAATCATTCAGGTTATTAGATGACATATTAAAGCTGAGAGCTGCAGCGCGCTTTCTATCTTCAGCCGGAGGGGGATACAGTCTGTGAGCTAAATGCTAAGCATGCTAATCATCAGTAATCGGTCTGTTTGGCGCCACATGGACCATCAATAACTGAATGAACATCATGCTGTGCTGAAGACGTCCACTCGGCCGTCAGACTGAGACATAAACTCATGTTTACATGTTTACTGAGGGAATAAATCAAGAGAGAGTCATTTTCTCATAGATCAGGGGTCTTTAACGTTTTTCAGGCCGAGGTCGAGATGGAGCAGGGACCCTCTATTCTACGCAGTTTGGTTGGTTTGGCAAGTCGGATTCTGAAAAAAAAAAAAGCTGGTTGAATTTAAAAAAAAAAGAAAAACCCAAAACCTTGCGACCCTCTTGCAGTACCTCCTATTGAAGACCTCCGTCATAGACGTCTATGGGAGCAGAGGAGTCGCCCCCTGCTGGTCACTACAGAGAAGTAGAGTCATTTCCTCATAGACGTCTATGGGAGCAGAGGAGTCGCCCCCTGCTGGTCACTACAGAGAAGTGGAGTCATTTCCTCATAGACGTCTATGGGAGCAGAGGAGTCGCCCCCTGCTGGTCACTACAGAGAAGTAGAGTCATTTCCTCATAGACGTCTATGGGAGCAGAGGAGTCGCCCCCTGCTGGTCACTACAGAGAAGTAGAGTCATTTCCTCATAGACGTCTATGGGAGCAGAGGAGTCGCCCCCTGCTGGTCACTACAGAGAAGTAGAGTCATTTCCTCATAGACGTCTATGGGAGCAGAGGAGTCGCCCCCTGTTGGTCACTACAGAGAAGTAGAGTCATTTCCTCATAGACGTCTATGGGAGCAGAGGAGTCGCCCCCTGCTGGTCACTACAGAGAAGTAGAGTCATTTCCTCATAGACGTCTATGGGAGCAGAGGAGTCGCCCCCTGCTGGTCACTACAGAGAAGTAGAGTCATTTCCTCATAGACGTCTATGGGAGCAGAGGAGTCACCCCCTGCTGGTCACTACAGAGAAGTAGAGTCATTTCCTCATAGACGTCTATGGAAGCAGAGGAGTCGCCCCCTTGCTGGTCACTACATCCACTACAGAGGAGGCTTTGACTTCTCTTGAAGAACATGAGGTCCTCACACAGCTGTGAGGAAAGACCACAATGAAGCAGCAGGTGATACAACTCGCTGCTTTCAAATAAAAAGGTGGAGGCAATTTGGTCACAGGGCGGAGGGAGGAAGGTGGAGGCAGTTTGGTCACAGGGTGGAGGGAGAAAGGTGGAGGCAATTTGGTCACAGGGCGGAGGGAGGAAGGTGGAGGAAGGTGGAGGCAGTTTGGTCACAGGATGGAGGGAGAAAGGTGGAGGAAGGTGGAGCAGGCCTGGACAAGCGCGGGCCAAGGTCAACCTGTGGCCACAGAACGCATGCAGGACCCCCCAGGGGTCTGTAAGGAGGGCTGATGCCTCTCTGGCATCAGGTGACCCCCCCACCCCACCCGATACACCCCGTCACTACGTGTAACAAGGAAACACACGTCTTTCTGAAGGGACATTTTCTGCCCCGTCATTGTGTGGGGGGGCAGCGACAGGCGCATTCAGACGGGACGACGCGCGCAGCCAGCGTGTAAGATGAGAGTCTGTTTGGTAACTGACGCTGGTGTTTAGAGACCATTGTTCTGTGAGTCACTCACCTGTATGTTACCTGGGCAGCACAGCAATATATATATAAATATATACTGTATATATATAGAGAGATATAGATATGCAGTATGTATATATATATATATATATATATATATAGATGTACAGTATATAGATATACAGGACTCATAAAGATACATAAATAACAGTGAAGATTATTCTATCAACACAATAGAGGATACATCATCAGAACGTATTTATATTTATTACAACATATTTATTATTTATTGACACTCAAAAGCTTCTGTCAGGGGAAGATGGACTGAATATTAGATTGAACACGCGTGATCTCTGGGCAGTAAACACACATCTGGATAACCTGCTCTAACATGTTTTTACACCACCAGTCCGTTCATGCTAATCCGCGGCGCTAACGCTAATCTCCGTCTCCTACTCTGACCATTCTTATGACCTTCTTACAGTGAAGTTATTGCTGTTAAAGACTCGGAAGTGATGACAAAGTACAGTGGCAACGCTTTAAGAACCGTGTGGATGTAGATGTGATATGCGGCTGTGCTAGCGCTTAGAGTTAGCGGGATGTAGCTGTGTCATTGGCGCCCGGCCGTACGGGGATACCGGCAGGCCGACGGCGTTGGGCTGGTCCGCGAGCCGTCAGCACCAAAACGTGAATCCTTTAAAGAAAAGGAGAAAAATAATCCTCTGCTGCCGTTCCTATATGTGTATCACATGTCTATCGTATATCTATCATATGTCTATCACATGTCTATCACATGTCTATCACATGTCTATCACATGTCTATCACATGTCTATCACATGTCTATCACATGTCTATCATATGTCTATCACATGTCTATCACATGTCTATCATATGTCTATCACATGTCTATCACATGTCTATCATATGTCTATCATATGTCTATCATATGTCTATCATATGTCTATCATATGTCTATCACATGTCTATCACATGTCTATCACATGTCTATCACATGTCTATCACATGTCTATCACATGTCTATCACATGTCTATCATATGTCTATCACATGTCTATCACATGTCTATCATATGTCTATCATATGTCTATCACATGTCTATCACATGTCTATCATATGTCTATCTGCTACTAGCGCAGTGAAGCATGCTCATCCAACTGGAGCGCCACCATATCATTTCATTCCATCTGCCCATCCAGGCACACTGGTGGATCCAAACGTTCTAAAAACAACATAAATGGTGTTATTTCCCCACTGACTGGTGAGCGGGCCGGTCTGACGTATTAAAGGGAACCTTGTAAAGTCGAAACCTTTCACAAAGTTTCATGATGCGTCACTTTGCAGATTGTCCCACTGCATTTGAACATGTGACGAAGCTTCGTCGTATTTTAATGCTTTAATTTAGTTTCATGTGTTCATGCTGGTTCTCGGTGTCCGGCGGTATCCATGGTGACCGCGGTGAATCCAGAGCCGCCGTCCTCTCTAGCAACACAAACATGTGGGCCGGAGGCCGGGAAGCTTCTCCGCTGAACTCGAGACGTTTCCCAGGTTTACTAGTCGCTCCAGAAGCGGCTTTGTCACGCCGGTCTTCTGCCACCTCATTCGCCCCCACCCCGTGAAACGCCTACAAAAGACTCCCCCCGACCTTGTCTAATGAATAAAGAGGCCCTCCCCCCGTCTCCCCGGGCATTGTCTCCGTGTTGTTACACCAAGTGTGTGTTGCTCACTAAGCCTGTGATGGATGTCGGATTACCCCCTGGGGGGGGCTCCTCCTCACAAAGAGGCAATGGCCTTCATCGCGACGGAGGCAAACACACACACTCCCCAAACAGACACAGAGATCTACAAACCCTCACCCCGACCCCCCCGACGTCTTCCTCCTCTCTGGTAGATATTAATACAAAGACATCTCACAGGAATGCGGTCAACGGAACAGCAGTTCCCATGATGCAGCAGCGGGTCTGCGTGTGCAGGGGGGGCGGACTGACGTTCGCATCCACCGGTCGAGATGATCTGAAGCGTTTTACAAAAGCGTATCTTTGCGTCAGAGGTCGTTTCAGAGCAAACGGCTGTGAAACCTCTCTTTTAAATTCGGCTTTTGATTCACTTCCTGAAACAATAACGTTCATTTTCTCCATTTTTATACAACCAGCAGCACGAGCACATGACCTCCTACTACCAGATGAACTACATGTACCTTCCACCGACCTTCTGCTCGCCAGCGGCACGCAGATGGGACAGTGTCCCCGACCTCCTGAGCCGCGTCCTTTTCTGGACGATCCTGTTGATGAAGAAGCGCTTTTACTTCGTTAAACACGTCGGGGGAGAATATTGAGGCCCGATTAGATGTATTGTCGTTTCCAGATGACTACTTGTTTCAACGCTATCGTTTTTCTTCACAGTCCATCAAATATGTCCATGACCTCAGCCGTCCTCATAAGTAACGTCCCCCATCGTGGACGTGCTCTCACATACGAGCACATTCTTTGTGTAGTGTTACGTCTTTTCCTTTACAACGTTAGAATATTAGTAAAGCTGCTGCACAAAACTATTGATTAGTGTGAATTGTCCATGCAAAATAAATGAATAAATAAACATGTTTTATTTTGATGTTTCTCTTCTTCTTTGGTTGTGCAGTGCTGCAGATCCCGCGTGGAGGTAAAGTGAAGAAGAAATAAAGAGAAAAGAGGCCGTTTTTAAAGTGAAAAAAGTGTCAGAAAGACCTTCACATTAAGGCTAAAGGACTTCTGTGATAAATCTGGGCCTCCACCATCAACAAGACGAGAGGGAGACCAGTAAGAGACCCCCACCCCCACTCCCACATGACAATGGTACCAGTAGTTACCCCGGAAACAGGCTTTTCATTAGCTGTGTGATAAAAAAGACGTATTCCCTGTCTCTTCTTTGCCTACTGTCTCATGTCTTGTTTTTGTTTTTGTTTTTTTGCAGGGGGGGGGGGGTCTGTGGAAAAACTGGAGGGCTCCCACAGATACCAGTGGCTCCCAGCAGATCCTTCCTCAACCGGTGGGTCTTCTGACACTTCCTCCAGAGCAGTCATCTGCAGAAGATGATCATGAGATGATTAGAGAGCTTCTGGAATCAGAGGATCAATGACAGCTGTCACATGATGCGGGGCTTGACCGGAGGAGGTCCCTCTATCCACCGTCAAGTTGACTCCTCCGTCCTCGCTATCGCCCCCCCCCCTGCCTTGCCCAGGGGCCACAACGCTGGTTGCTTTCGGTGTGCGGCGTCTCTGGGTTGGAAGCAGCAGGGTTATTCTTTCACTCGGAGGGTCCTCTTACCTGCGTCGGGTTACCAGGGGCCTCATCTCTGTCAAGAGCCCTGCGATGCAGCTGGAGAGCGACTGCGATGGCCGCCCAAGGGAGGCCGCAGGGAGCTCTCTGGGAAGTGTGTGCGTGTGGTGGTAAGGGCGGGGGACAGAAGTCTCATGGGGGCAAAATGTCAGCTCTTCTTTCCAGGAAAAGAGCTCTGGGATGAAGATGCGGCGTCCCGCTACTCCAGCAGGGTGTTGGGTGTCCTCCACACGGAGGTGTAGCGTTACAGCCGCCATTACCTCATCAGTGACCACAGACGCACACGATGACAGGGTCTGTTCTCCGTGCCTGGGGAGTTGGGGGCGGAGGTGGGTGGTCTGGGGGGAAATGAGGCTTCTTTAATTTGCATTTGATTGCTGCGACTATGTGAACACACGAGCCACGTAGCGAATCAAGACGGGACAGAGAGACGCTTGGGGGGGGAGGGGGGGGGCGTGAGACACTTGTCCCCATCAGACCCCACACGGACCCCCTCCAAGGACCACGGTTCCAAGAGCCGTGGGGAACAAGAGTCTGACTGAGTGCAGACAAAGACCTGAAAGACAACCCCCCCATTACCCCCCATTACCCCCATTGCCCCCCCTGCCTGATCACAGCAAGAGTCAAAGACACGAGGACAAGAGCAACGTACAAGGACGCTAACGGAGGGGGCGGTTGGGGGGGCAGAAGAGAACAAGTCTGTAGCCACGCTAGCAGCTGTGTGATGCATCAATAGCGAAGGTCTCAACCCGCAGTAGAACATGTAAGATGTTCACTTGGAAGCGTTCATCCTCTGGGGACCACGACGTTCTCTGTGGATGAAGAGATGCCTCGTCGACTACGCTAAAAGGTTGACGTTGAGTCAGAGGGTCACAATAGTCACGGCAGTGTTTCCTCTGGGGAACAGTGTCTGTAAACGTAATCATTTAATAAAAGATCTAGAATGTCCGGCTCCTGAGAGGACGGCTCGTCGCTAAAGCTTCAGCCTGAAAGTAAGTAGAACATAAATCATCGAGACAAGCGAGATGCAGTAAAACTTTATTTTTTATTGACAACGAAAAGTGTAAAACAAACCCAAAACAAAGCGTGCGGGCGACATCGTGTCCGTGACTTCACAGGGAAGACGCACAAACACAAACCCAGCTGGTTCATGTGAAACGAGACCAGCTGCACATCGATTGCACTGCCACACATTTTAGAGGAGAACCGAAGTTAAGGCTCTGGTTTAGTTAATCGAAAGAATTCAGATCTTTTGTTTGGGAGAGAAAATAAAGGCAGAAAAAGGACATTTTGTCTTTGAGGTAAAAAGGGAATGTTGTTCTTGGCACGCAGAAGGTCGGCTGCTCATTTACGAGGCTCTTAAACGAGACCTTTCAAAGGTCTCCGCAGCTCCTCGATGGATAAGTTAGCCTGGAGTTGACTGCTACTTAACTAACTGGAGAATAACTTCTCTGCTGAAATCAACCAGCTCTGTTCCATCTCCTCTGATGGTGATGATCAGCATTTATTGATCTTCTGAGTTTGTGTCCTTATGGTTGAAATGCACTCATTGTAAGTCGCTTTGGATAAAAGCTAAATGTGATGTGATCATTAATGATGTAGTTCAACTGGTCCTAATTATGTTTGGATGCAAACAGGAACAAATACTGGACGTCACTTCTAAACCAAACATTTGGCAAATGTGTTGCTGGTGATTGTGGCGTACACATGAATCACCAGCAGACACGCACGGCCGGGACGCGTCCTCGTGAAGCATCGAACGCTTCATTTATGTTTGATGAAGCAACAAGAAGCTGTCCAACTGAAAAAGCTCATTTGAAACCTCAATGAATTCATGTTTCATGTTGGTTTGTTGTGGCATCACATTTGACCACTGGGACCAACTGACATCAACGTCTTATTTCAGCTCCGTGTAGCAGATCATTAGAATTAATATTGAACATTTCATTTCCGCTTCCTGAACACGAGCTGAAGATACGGTAACGTTTAGTTCTGCGCTGTAAACCCGGTCAGTGAACGCCCCTCTGGTGGTCTACGTGACCTTGGTGGACTGTTCATAAGAAGCCGTCGTCGTCTCGTAGCTTTGTGGATGACTTTAGGAATCGGGGCAGCCATCTTTTCAGGAACAGGAAGTGACCTCATATGGACTGAGGAGGATGCATAGACGTCTCTGCTAGGGACCTCTCAATCAGCTTGTAGCCCCGCCCTAAAGCGCCCCCTGCTCCCCTCCTTTTCTCATAGACTTCTCTGGGACACGCTAATACCACAGGGATTATTAACTAACAACAGCCGAGTCTGTGGGGGGACGCTAACTTCCTGTTAGCAACAGAATGACGTCATCACTGCAGCGGGGGGACGCTAACTTCCTGTTAGCAACAGAATGACGTCATCACTGCAGCGCTCACGACCCGCTGAGCTCCTACAAACAAAACCAGATTCTGAAAATGACTTCAGTCTCCAGTTCTTTTCCACGGTTCCATGATTATTCGGACTGCATCTTTGTTCATTTCCTCCATGAATCTACATCCAAAAGTAACTCGATGTTTTACACATTTTGAAAAAGTCAATCGGGGTTTTTTGAGAGTTAAAAAAAGAGAGTCTGTTATTCCTTGTTTTCAGAAAGAGGACCAGCTCCTCCTCAGAGGAGGGTGTCGATCCGGGTGCTCGGGTCTCCACCCAACGGGTCTCCGAGGTCAAACAGCTGGTCCAAGCCGACGGAGGAGCTGCAGAGGAAGTCGCTGCGGCCCTGCTCCTCCTCCTCCCCGGGCCAGGGGGTCTCCAGGAAGGCGGTGGCGAGGAAGGTCTCCTCGTCAAAGTCCGACCCGTCGGTGTTCCTCTGGGTCTCCACCAGCACGTGGACCTCCGATGTACCCGCGGAAGATATGTGGGTCCCCCGCACTGTCAGGTCCTCCTCCTTCAGGATGGGGCTCAGAGGTTCTCCTCCGTCCAGACTGAGCTCCCCGTTGAGGGCCGAGTCCAGCAGGGCGTCCCAGTCAAAGTCACCCTTGAGGGGCCCGATGTCCTTCTGCTCGTCCGGGGGGAGCAGCGGCGAGCTGGAGAGCCGGGGGTTCTTGGCACCGGCGGCCCTGGAGCCTGGTTTCCTCCTGGGGCCTCCTCTCCCTCGCACCACGGGCCAGGACCCCAGCATGGTGCCGTCGGCGAGGTGGGGGTCCCAGTTCTGGTCTGCGCCGGTCGTCTCCTCAAACTGGCGGAGGAGCCTCTGGGCCTCAGGGTCGACGCTCAGGCCGCCGGGACCTCCTGCGGAACCCCAGGGGCCTCTAGACTGGGGGTCGACCCGGAGCCGGCTCTGCAGTGCCGGGTTGATCTGGACCGGCGGCATCCGCTTCTTCTTGTAGGCGCCGCTCAGCAGGCGCTCGGCGTACTGCGGGTCGATCTTCCAGAAGCCGCCCTTCCCCGGCTCGTCCTTCTGCCGCGGCACCTTGATGAAGCACTTGTTGAGTGACAGGTTGTGTCGGATGGAGTTCTGCAAAGAGAGTTTGAACGATAGCTTAGCATAACGACTGGAAACAGCTAGCCTGGTAGTCTGTAGCTAACAGCATCCACCTACCAGCTGATCGTCATGTGATCTCTCAGTTTACCTACAACAACAGCAACTAGGTAAGAATGTTCCAAATAAACATCTGTACTTACTGGAAAGTACGTAGCGAGGTTTAATGAAATATGAAGAAATGCTTCGTTAGGTTTAGGAAAACAGCGTAATCGCCTGTGACGTCTCAGAATTACAGCACACATCCTGCTTACGAATGCTGAATAAGAACTTATAAGACGAATGAGCTTGAGAGGAGTTGGGAGGTATATTTTGTCTTTATGCTAAGCTAGGCTAACCAACGCCTTCTCATTGAACTCTGCAACAAAGTAAATTGGCCCCAAAAGGTCGATTCAAGAGAATCCGAGCAGGAAGTCCAGAATTCAGAGCTCCACATTAACCCCCCCACCCCCCCCCCCTCGGGGAGGTTTAAATGGAGCAGTCACCCGACGACCTTTGTTAAATATTATCTGCCCCATGCGCTGGTCTACAATAACAGAATGCTCTGAAACAGGGAGTACAGCTAACCAGCCATCAATCATTGATCCGCTAAATTAAACCTCTTCATTCAAATTCCTGAATCTGCTGCTGCACTTTTTCCTCCTTCATCGCGTGTCTAAATATACAAATACATTATTTATATTCATACAGCAGCTTTAAGTCTCTAATTCTCAGCATTTTACAGCTCATTAAATAAGAAAGAAAAGATGGATCCAGTTGTGATTTGACCTGGATGGAAAGTGTGTGTGTGTGTGTGTGTGTGTGCGTGTGCGCGCGCGCGTGCGTGCGGCCCTCTACCTGCCAGGTGGGGTCGGCATGCCGGTAGTAGCAGAAGTTCTCGGTGATCCACTTGTAGATGCAGGCCAGGGTGATCTTGGTCTTCTTGCTGGCCTGCATCGCCATGCAGATCAGCGTCGCGTACGAGTACGGCGGCTTGATGCGCGCGTTCGTTTTGTAGTCCACGTCGTCGGGGCAGTGCCCGTGCGCCACGATGCCCGGGAGGACCTGCATCCGGCTGTAGGCCGCCGCCGTGGGCTTCCCGGGAGTCAGCGGCGTGCCGAAGGAGGCGGGGTCCGCGGCCAGGGGGGAGCCCGGCGGCGCGTGCCGGCCATGAAGGTGCGCGCCCGGGGGCGCGCGCGGGGGCTCGCTGGCACCGAGGATGGAGAACTCCTGCAGCCACTGCAGGCTCGTGAGGCTGTCGTCCAGGTTGGCCTCTACCACCTCCACCTGCCCCGGACCCACAGCGCAGCTCAGGGACAGCATGGCTCTCCGTCAGCCCGCTCCTCCTCCACCCTGCCACCGCCTGTCGGCACCGGGGAGACACGGTGTGAACAACGAGGGGCCTCGAGGGGGGGGGGGGGGGGTCAAATCCACAGGTGAGTCTGTCACCTGGAGCTCTGCCCGGGACAGACGTTACTCATGCAAATGAGCTGCGCACTTTACGCACGAGGAGAGCGGAGCTCGTTACGGCTTTAGATCCAAATACATTATTATAAAATGATCTTATTAAAAAGCTCGAGTAAGCCGTAGAAATACGACTGTGGGATTGTGTAGTTGTAACTTAGATGTGCGGCACTTTAACGTTTTAGGTGAAATCCGCACCTTTAGGGAATGATTTTCAATTAAAACCGATTAAAATGCTGATTGATTATTTATGCTGATGAAAAATAATCTGCTTGCAGGTGCAGATCAATATATTTTTATGATTATTTAAAAATTAAACAGCGTAAAGTGTAAACTCACCCCTCTGTCCGCTGTGACGTATAAGAGACGTGGATAAATTTCTTATCGCAGCGTATCGATCGATCTATCTATCCGCGTGAGAGACACCTGTTGATGAGCTCGTGAGAGGGGTGGATTCTTGCGCGCGGGGGTTTGTTTTTCTGCAGGGGGACTTTGAGAAGTCTCTTTTATACCTGGAGCAGGAGGTTTGTCTGGTTTCCATAGAAACCCCCCCCCCCCCCCTCCTGCTGTAAACAGGGTCCCATGGCTCCATTGGCCCGCTGGTTACTATGGTACCTCACTTTAACTCAAGTCAACTGAGGCTGCATATATATATATATATATATATATATATATATATATATATATATATATATATATATATATATATATATATATACACACACACATATTTATTTATTTAGTGTGGGAATGTGCTTTTATTCGTATAAAGGGTCAAACAATCCGCCGTGGCCCCTGATTGTTGTGTTAGTGTGTGTGTTTATTAGAATGAGTGTGTTAGTGTGTGTTTGTTCGTGTCTTAGAGTATCTGTTAGTGTGTGTGTGTGTGTGTGTCTGTGTGTGTGTGTGTGCGTGTGAGTGGTTCTCTCAAAGACAACGGTAAAGCAATAAAAAAGACTTCCTTGTCTCTTCAAAGTAAGACGTGAAGCGTTGAATCCAACACCTGCTCTTTCTCTCTCACACACACACACACACGCACACACACACACACACAGACACGCACACACACACACACACACACACACGCACACACACACACACAGACACGCACACACACACACACACACACACACACACACACACACAGACACGCACACACACACACACACACACACAGACACACACACACACACACACACACGCACACACACACACACAGACACGCACACACACACACACACACACACACACACACACACACAGACACGCACACACACACACACACACAGACACACACACACACACACACACACACACAGACACACACCGTGTGAGAGAAGGAAACGGGTTTCACTTCAGTGATCTTTCAGCTAAACTCAACAAAAGGTGAGTTTCATCCAAAGAACGTTCTGGATGTCTCCTTCAAAATAAAAGGTGAGCAGATATGAAGTACAGATAATAACGAAGAAGAAGGGCGATACTGCAGCACTTTTACTGCATGGAGCGGAGAGATAATACTCAAGTAAAGTGCAATACTTTAAAGGGTACTTATTTAGCTTTGGACTTTTTGACACACCGAAACAAACAATCCACCAAAAGATGTTCTTGTCCTCCATGTCTGTTTCAAATATATCCTCCAGTTTAATGCAATGAGATAGCAGAACCGCTGGACCCAGTAGAACCATGAGAACCACTGGAACCCGTAGACCTGGTGGGTTCAGCAGAACCAGTACAACCACTAACCCATAGAACCAGCAGAACCACTGGAACCCATCCAGCAGAACCAGCGGAATCAGTAAAACCATTAGAACATTAACCAGTCCGCTGGAGGAAACATTCACGTCTTGTCACGTCTCATTGGTCAAACTCTGTGTCCCCTCATCACATCACATGACCACAGAGACAAGAGGACGGGCCTGTTTTATTTATTTGGTTCTAATTCTCTGTGGGACACAAGGGGGCGACACATCTCTTTAAATGAACCTCACTCTCTCAGATTCCTGTAGTTCATTAATTCATTGACGTCTATAAACTAAATGTTGACGTCATTCTGTTAGTGATGATAAAGATGCTATTTGGTGTCATACTTAAACAAGAGCACATTGTATACCGGATGTTTACAAACGTTCATAAAAACATTTACAATAACTAATACAAGACCATGAACAGGAATCAGGAAACATTTATTAGCCAAAATATGTCAAACATACAAGGAATTTGTCTTGGCGGTTAGTGCGCGACAGTAGACAGACAAGACAACAGTGCACAAGTAATAAAATAAAGTGGGATGAAATGCTAATGCAATGGGTTAGTAGAATAAGGCTAAGGCTATGGGTTAGTATAAAACAAGGGAATCAAGTTAAAAAAAATTAAATATTAAAAAGTAAAAAGAAAAATATTAAGCATAAAGTGCACTAACAAACAAGTAACAGACAAGAGACAAAGAGACAAAGTGACAAAGTGATGAATAACAGTTAAAGTGGCATGTGCAGTATGAAGGGGAGTGACCGGTGGAGTGTTATGGTCAGTCAGTGGGGGACCGGCTCTGTTGATGAGCCCGACTGCCGACGGGAAGAAACTGTTTGTGTGGCGGGAGGTCTTAGTCCTGATGGACCTCAGCCTCCTGCCAGATGGAAGGGACACAAACAGTTTTTGTCCGGGGTGAGAGGGGTCGCCTACCATCTTTTTAGCTGCTTCAGAGACCTGGAAGCGAACAAGTACTAATACCACACTAGTAACATCCTCTGCTTCAGTAAAAGTACCAATGCCACATTATAAATACTTTTACTTGGCTAAAGGATCTGAATACTTTGTGTGAACACAAATCATTTAGACGCTTGAAGGCATTGACTCTTTCAATTCAATCCAATTAATTTTATTTTGTAGAGCCCAAAATCGCAAACTACAAATTTGCCTCAGAGGGCTTTTCAGTCTGTACACATGCGACGTCCTCTGTCCCCAAACACAACAATACATTCAATTGCTAAAACAGAAATGATTCAATTATTCAGAGTAGTACGACAAGACCACCATCACATAGAACCACCATCAGATAGAACCACCATCAGATAGAACCACCATCAGATAGAACCACCATCACATAGAACCACCATCAGATAGAACCACCATCAGACAGAACCACCATCAGATAGAACCACCATCAGATAGAACCACCATCACATAGAACCACCATCAGATAGAACCACCATCAGATAGAACCACCATCACATAGAACCACCATCAGATAGAACCACCATCAGATAGAACCACCATCAGACAGAACCACCATCACATAGAACCACCATCAGATAGAACCACTATCAGATAGAACCACCATCACATAGAACCACCATCAGATAGAACCACTATCAGATAGAACCACCATCATATAGAACCATCATCACATAGAACCACCATCAGATAGAACCACCATCAGACAGAACCACCATCACATAGAACCACCATCAGATAGAACCACTATCAGATAGAACCACCATCACATAGAACCACCATCAGATAGAACCACCATCAGATAGAACCACCATCAGACAGAACCACCATCACATAGAACCACCATCAGATAGAACCACTATCAGATAGAACCACCATCAGACAGAACCACCATCACATAGAACCACCATCAGATAGAACCGCCATCACATATGTGTATATACATGTACATGTAGGTGTGTATACTCATGTTCATGTACATGTAGCTTACCGATAGCAATAACACGACTCCATATGCGTACTAGATGTGTCTGCATGGCCTTCTGAATGATTCACTCATACAAGAAGAAGGCTTCTTTGAGGAGAACCATTCTGCTCCCTCAGAACCACAGGACGTCCCACCCACTGGGACAGAATACTTCTTATTACACACAAATAAAAGTAATATAGAAGTGCAAGTGTTTAAGTGTGTATTCACCTCATGTACCTGCCAAACGAAGCAGCCAATCAGCTCCGTGGATTCACCGAACATTCTCAGAAACACATGACGTCAGCCTATCGGACGTGGATAACATCGCGTGGACAACCGCAGAGGGCGGAATTCCTTTTTACTGTCTACGAATCCGCTTGACTCCGCCCATCGGCGGCGTCCGAACAGAATGAACAATCGCACCAAGTAAGTTCAAACACGTCAGCCAATCAGCGCGTTTTTAGTATCTGCGATCCACCAATCAGAAGCGCGCAGCTCTTTGTTGTTGGTGAAGAGATGAAAATATTGTTGTTGCTGTCGCTGTGAAGCTGCGGAGACGCTTCGGTGGCGGAAGGGCAGCGAACACCGGGCTGAAGCGGGTTTAACGGGATCCTTTGATGATTGACGGTGGTCGGGTGGCGCAGCGGGGAGTTCGGTGAACATGGACGAGCTGAGGCACCAGGTCATGATCAACCAGTTTGTTTTGACGGCCGGATGCGCCGCGGACCAGGCGAAGCAGCTGCTGCAAGCGGCCCACTGGCAGTTTGAGGTGAGCCGCTCCGTTCCGGCCCGACCCGGATACCCCCCCCCCCACCCCCCGGTGTGCGCAAGCCGTCCGCGCGGATAGATAGTGTCCCCGCGACAGTTGTTTGCGATGTTTACACCACCACGCGCTCCTGGTGATAGCAGTTGCTAAGCTAGCGGCACTTAGGACGTGGTGATCGACATTCTCCTCTGGAATCCACGGCGTCACGCTAAGCTAGCTGTTATTAGCTTAGCTGCTAGCAGCCGCTAAAGACTGTTCAAAAACGCTCAAAAACCTGATTTCTATTCTGGGAGCGAATGTTCCCAGGGCCCCGTGTCCCCAATGGGTCCCGTGTCCCCCGAGGACCCTGGTCTCCCCCGAGGGTCCGGTGTCCCCAATGGGTCCCGTGTCCCCCGAGGGCCCCGGTCTCCCCCGAGGGCCCCGGTCTCCCCCGAGGGTCCGGTGTCCCCAATGGGTCCCGTGTCCCCCGAGGGCCCCGGTCTCCCCCGAGGGTCCCGTGTTCCCAATGGGCCCCGTCTCCCCCGAGGGCCCCGTGTCCCCCACATTAACTGTATGGAGGCCGGGGAGACAATATTTCCAAATGGGGCATATCGTCTTGAGACACCGGGTCACTAGTGTGGGACACTTTGTGTGGGACACTATTTTATCTTTATAAAAATTCAATTTATTTTTCTCTGAATCACGAATGTTCTTCATAGATCATCTTTTATGAAAACAATAGACCATTTTTTAAATGTTTAATTTTGAAGCGTTTCCATCTCAATGTCGTCCTTGAACGACCTTGAGTTCTCAAGCTGCGTTTTGTCTCCAACCTTAAACTATCAGCTGTTAGCTGTCAGTTATTATCACTTCTCTGAACATGGAAGTTTAAATAATAAACAGGTTAAATAATAGCCAATTAAACAAAACTAGTCAATTGAGTTCTTTTACTTTTAACGTATAGACAAGTGGTCCCTCAATGAGCGGACAGAGACAGAAGAGGACGTCCTCAGAGCTCTTTGAGATGAGGCTCACGTCGGATAGCAGACATTCCTGCTGCGCTGCTGCTGTTGTTAACCAGGCGGGGGCTGGGGGGGGGGGGCGGCATTCATTGAGGGGGGGCGGCATTCATTGAGGGGGTTGTGAGAACTGAGGCCTCCAGTGAAGACAAGTCACGTGTCCCTGTTTCTTTAACAACTTCTCACTCTGCAGAGACACAACGTGGTTGTTTTTAATAAATCCCAACGTCTCTCTGCAGACGGCCTTGAGCTCCTTCTTCCAGGAGGCCCACATGCCCCCCCACCACCACCAGATGGTAAGCCCCCCCCCCCCCCATGAAGATACTTAATCACATACCAATATCTAATAGTAAGAGTTCACTCTTCCTCCTGTGTTCCTCCCACAGATGTGCACCCCCAGGAACACCCCCGCCACACCGCCCAACTTCCCGGACACCATCACCATGTTCTCCAAGCTGCGGGCGTCGGAGTGCCCCCCTCTCTCCTCCCAGGCGCCGTCCATGGCCTGCTCCCCCCCGGCACCCTCCCCGGGATTCGGCTCCTTCTGGGCCTGCTCGCCGCCGGGCCACCAGCCGGCCTGGCTGCCCCCGTCGTCGCCCACGGGGCACCACCTGCACCACCACTTCCACCTGTCACAGACCCCCATGTGGCCACCGGCCGGCTCCCAGCCTGGAGGGGCCACGCAGACCCCCGTCGTGTCGGCACTCCACGGCCAGAGATGAGGTGGCGCAGTTTTGGGCAGGTGGGAGGTGGGGGGATGTTGGGTTGGGTGGGGTTGATCATGGGAAGTGTTTTTTCTAAACTGAAGACCGGATGGAGATGAGGGTGGAGGTGATGATAAAGGTGGGGGTGAGGACACCGAGCAACATGATGGTCTTCATCGTCTGCTCAAACAGATCCAGCAGAGCTCAGCTCTTCTTCTCTGGTTCAGAACCCGTCCCACAGGAAGTAACCAGCAGAAAAACCACCAGAGGGTTTGAGGGTGAACGACCTTGAGGTCGTCAGGTCAGAGGTCATCAAGCAGAGAGACTTTAAAGACTCACCTGGATGAGCAAATATTCTCTGCTCCTCAGAAAGAATTTGTCGGCGTCCCAACCCAAATAAAGATGGCCGCCGTCGTGACATCACTTCCTGTCCAGCCTCTGATCCACTAGACTCTCTAGTCCAACGATTCAGTAAAACTACAACTTTCTCTGGTGTTCTGACAGAAAAACTGCAGCTTGAACAGCAACGTGGCCTGTGGGCTTCTGGGAAATGTAGTCAGCAGGAACCAGACATTTAATAAATAACAAAGGTAATTAGAGAAAGAATTACTAGTTGGAAGATTCTTTTGTTGTTGACCTTTATTTTGAGAAACAACATTTGATGATTAGTTAACTTAAATGTGATCATTTCTGGAATACAAACTGTCACAATACTTCTACCAGATTTGTGTGCATTTACCCTTTAAAGAAATAATATTTTCAATAAGTTCCTTTATTACAAAAGTTAATCCTTTTATTCAAAGAAGACTTTAAAAAGTTGTTTTTGGGGTGATGACAGGTTTTAATGCTTCTTTCAAAAGCCTCGACAGGAGCTTTGAGTGGAAGATAATAACATTCAATTTCAATATATTCACGTTTTTATAATGTTGATGCAAACCGCATTTGACGGAAGACGATGCGCTAGTGAGGAAAACAAGAGTTTAATGAGAAAGTGAAGATGTGAGCGATGGCAATAATCCTCACTCGGGTTCACTTCCTGGTTTTCTTCTTCTAATGGGACTGTCCTACCTCGAACCTCTCCGGGTTCCCTCTGCAGCAAGAGGAGACCCTCCACTTGCTCATGAGACCCTCGCCAGGAGTTCAAAGCAGCAGCGTGTCCATCAGGTCTTCTAATGCGGTGATGTCATCAGCGGAACAGATGTGCCACACCTCTGGACTGGTCTTTGTTTACGTCTATAGTTTCCGGGGCTTCTGCAGGTTCCACAAACTTTACTTTTGTATTTCGCAGGCGGACTGAGGATCGTGATGTCGCAGTCTTTTATTTACATGTTTTTCCTCCAATAAAAACAAAGCATATTGTTTATTATTTCAGACGAGTATTTGAAAGCATCAACTTTTTAAATGACGTCACTCGAGTCTGAAGTAACAGTACATTTACCAGAGTATTCTACTGCACGTTTTACTGCACCACGTTTGACAGAACGGAATCCAAACTGACGACATTTAAAGAACCAGAATCAGCTGTAATTATACACTAAATAATCCAATACTACAACACTTTGAGTACTGTGGGATTGCACTGAAATGAGTGAAAGTCAACGGCAGAAAGGACTCATTCAAATGTCTTAATGGCAACGGGTTTCTCCTCCAAAGAAAAAGGTTCCACACGGCAAAGGACTGAAGAGAACCCACTTCCCACTTTTGCATTTATACGTTTAATCAAAGAAGCCGTCTCGTGTTTCTACTGGAAGAGGAACCCGGTGGTCTGTGGACTGAAGGTTACTTGGATGTGGGCGGAGCTTCTGTCCCATCGCCACGCCATGCCATGAAAGAGGACATTTGGCGAGTACTTAAACGTACTAATACTCCTGTAGAAGTACAAATCCCTGCTCTCAAAATCGTACTCGCGTATAGCGGCAATACTGCAGTAACCTTTCTGCCTAAAGCTTTGAATACTGCAGTACTTGTGTAAATACTTTAGAATGAGGTCGTCCACCAACAATTCAATCACAGAGTCACATGACATTAAACCAAATCCTTCAATGACAGGAAGTGAACTGGAGAACTTCACAATCCCCGCCCCGATCTCTACTCGCCAGCTGTGTACTTCCTGTTCCTGAGAACAGGAAGTACACAGCTGTTAGTGACGTGTCCCTCCCCCTCCCATGATACAACTCATGAGGTCACGACCTTCTAATGGAGCACCATTAGAGCACATCCCCGTTCCTTCATCATCTCTAGTTAATTTTGCTAAAAACCACAACAATCGAAAGTCGCGCATGAAGTTTGCAGGCTAAAGTATCTATTTGTGTGTTTTTAAAGGTTTGCGTGTCCAGTGGGAGCCAATCGGGTCACAGCTAAGGAGGTTAGTCTGTTATTGTGGCTTGTTGTCACGGGAATAGTCTTTTATAAGTATTTAATGCTGATTCTGACAGGTTTTATGTTAGCTGCCTCAAGTTGAGTTATTGTGATATTATAATAACAATATTAAAGTTAACAAGCATCAAACCAATCAAATGAAACCAATAAAGGGATGAGAGCAGCTTTACCTTGTGTTTGCACAAACTTTACTGCACGAATAAAGGAGGGGGGGCCGCCCCCTACAGGTCGAGGGGCTCCGCCTGGCTCTCTGCAGCAGCTGAGGCCGGGGTGACGGAGCTCCTGGAGGTGCAGCCCAGAGCGGATACGGGCCAGTCCCTCCCCGAGGTGCTGGAGGCTGGAGATGATCATTACATTACATTGATCAGATGTTATTTCCCCTGGTTTCTTCATGGATACGTAGACACGTCATCATATACATGGTGGTGTTTAGAACATGGCGTTGTGGTGCAGAGGAACGTTCTGCTGCTGACAGAGCCGGCGTTGGACCAGCAGCTCCTGTGTCCTGCAAAGACGTGAACTACTTCTTCAGAGGGGGGCTCTGGTTCTGGGTCCGGGTGCACTTAGTGCTGGTGACGACACACTCATCGATGCACATCGCTCGCTTTCAGTTCTCGGACTGAAACAGGAAACCACGTTCATGGAGATTTGATTTAGGCTGCGCGGTGCGGAACGTTCCTCTGCTCCACTTCCTGTCCCAATACGCTGTCTGTAGCCGTATCAAAGACCCCGTACACACCGTTACTGTCCCTTTCACTCAGTGTGTCTCACCTGAGCGGCTGCACACAGCGCTCCTCACGCTGAGTGGGGGAGGAAGCTCTGGAGAAGCGCTGCGTTTGAGGTGCTGAGAGCACTTTGCCTTGTCTTTAGTTTTGCCTGCAGTTATCAGAAGATCGAGGCCAAAACATGAGATTAACAACAACAACAAACCAGCGGCTGTATCTCACCTCCATCATATCCTTACTGCAAAAACAGTGCAATGAGCTCACCATCTTTGGTAGAGATTGTAGGTAGTTTAGTTTCTGGGTTTCTGGCCGGTGTGTTCAGGCGACCCTTGTAAACGTGCCCGTCCAGTCCGATGATGTCAACCTCCTCCGACTAACACACACACACACACACACACACACACACACAGTGAGCAGCTGATTGATGGGTTTCCAAAGGGACCCCGGTGGTAGGAGACACTACCACTATAATCCACAGGGGTGACAAAACAACACACAATAATATTGTTAGTGGTAAAATGTGTGCATCGAGTAAAGTAAAGTATTATTCTTCCATAACTGCCGTGTCAACTTGTCTGTCATGTGACTAAACCTCTTTAAAATGAGTGTGATCCATAAAGCTCAACCTTTCTTCTCTACATTCTGCAGGTTCCATGCGCTTTCATTCATGTGCATTCAATAAAACAAAAGAAAGCAGGAGTCTTGTTGTGTCTGTGATGGATGCTTGACATCAGAATAAGGAGGTGGAGAACCTGGTCCACCTCCACCTGGACGTGCTGCTTGCTGGGCTGCAGGATGCTGCGCAGCTCCTTGGCCGAGGTCACCGTGTGACTCCCCCCACAGCTCCTTGGCACCGACAGACGACTGCAGTCCGTCTCCTCCGAGAGCTGCTGGCTGAGGACATGAGGAGACACATGAGGGGAGACATCTACTCCCCCTCCACCATCCAGCTCACTACGGATGAGGAGCAGAGACCGTCTGGAGGATCATGCTGTGGTTTCTCTATTGAAGAGGACTCTGCTGAGCTGTGGTGAAATAGTCCTTTCCTAACCGCTTCTCTTTGACCTCTGTGGAAAAGGTCACAGGGTCACGCAGCGCTGTGACAGTGATACGGGTCTGTTCTCCCGGTCCAGTGTTTCCTACGGTAAAGGAGCTGACTAAGGAGGCAGGGGGCTCCTCACCTCCTGCAGTGATGTCTGAATTGCTCCTGAGTGTAGATGGTGAACGGCCTGACCGGCTGGTGGGAGGAGCTTCCGTCAGAGGACGACAGATTCCTTCAGATCACAGCAGAGGAGACAGTTCAGGGGAGAAGGTCCTGGCTACAACATGAATATGGCACCTCTTAATGCGTGGGTACGACTCACAGGGAGGGGCTGTGCATCACTAAGGGCCGGTCACAGGAGAGGCAGTGGAACCTGGCCACCAGCTGTCTGCAGGTACAAAGCACACAAGCATCACAGGAGCCCTCACAAGCTTCTAGATGATATCAACGAATGATTCCAACACTTCACAGACAGCCACCGGCTGATGAGTGATGATATATTTCTTGTGCAGGTGCTTCCTATGATGAGCTACACGATGTCACCTCTTACCTTTTGATCCCAGCAGCGTCATCCTGCTCTGGAGATCCCTCAGCCTGAAGCTTCTGGTGGTAGTTCTTCCATCCATCCTCCAGCTGCTTCTTCACAGAGTCCAACTCCATCCTGTTGAGCTGCAGTGAGAGGACAGGGGCAGGTGAGGTCAGCGGCGGTCCCGTGCTGGACCTCCACGTCTATATCCGGGATGTGTGGGGACACTTGGACGTTCTTCACCTTACATTCCATCTCGGTGGAGAGCCGGTCGACAACCTTTCTCCATTCCTGCTCCTGACCCGTCACTTTGCTCAGCAGCTCGTGGAACATGGCGCTGAGCTCCTCCGTCGCCGAGTCAAACTGCCTACGGCTCACTTTGCTCTCAAGAGCACCTTTATCTGCTTTCTTCAGGTGTGAGGGGACAACAGGAGGCGGGTTTAGGATCAGCAGGATGGAGCCTCTCAGTGTGTCTCGATGTGCGTGAGGCTACCAGCTGCTCCTCATCATGAGGACCAGGCTTTCCCTGCATCACCAGATGCCTCTGGTCCTCCTCCTCACGAGAAGCCCTGAGCCCAGCTCACGCTGACTAAGTTCTCTTTCCACTGACAGGTGGATAACAGAGAACCAGAGAGGAACATAAACTGGCCTGTAGCTCCTCTCAGGTGGTGTTAGAAATCAAAGTACTGTGACTTGTGTCTGCACCACGTCTGTGAAGCGCTGCAGACTTTGAGCTCGTAAGGAGCTCTTTCCTGTGGCACCCTCAGGACATCAGTGACTTACGATTCCACTTTCCACCATCTGCTTGTCGGCCTTCTTCTCCTCCAGCTGGTCCGTGGTCCTGAGCAGCTCCTGATGAGACGCACAGCAGGAATGTGAGGCGGTGCTTGGCGGGGGGGGGGGGGTTGTTGTGAGTTAGTGCTTCTTTACCTCCAGGTGGCTCTGCTTCTGTCTGCTGTCCTCGTTCAGAATGCTGATGCTTTCGTGCAGATTCTCACACTTGGCCTGAAGCTGCAGGATCACCTTCTGCACCTCGCTCGCCACCACGGCGTTCTGACGCACACACGCACATCAAACTGCGTCTAAAACCTTCATCTCATCACTCCATCATGTGTTGCTAAAGTAGTGAAGTCCTTTAACGTCTCCAGAGGGAACTCCGCCTCCAGTGATGTCACTTGAGTCAGTTTGAAATACCCCCAGAATGAATCTATTTAGATCTCTTTAAACCTTCAACAGTGAGTCAGAGAATGTTACCAGCGTGGTGCTGAACCAGTACAGTACTCATGACACCTGCTTCTCCCTCTCCTCTCAGGCAATGCATGCTGGGATACCTGCGTGAAGCGGATGACCAGGAGAATGCTAGTAGCTGTTAACGGGGTTCGCTTGCCTCTGTGCTGCCTGCAGGCCGCTGCAGGAGGCCGCTCACCGCGTCCTGCAGCTGCTCCTGCTGCTGCAGCAGCCGGCTCAGCTTCCTGCCCTCCGAGCTTTGTCCGCTCTGGCTTCCGGCCAGCTGGGAGGTCATGGACTGCACCGCGTCCTTCAACGCGCCGCGCAGGTCGTCCAGCTGAGGTCAGAGGGCAGAGAGTTCGCATTAGACGATGTGTGGCCAGCGTCTCTCCAGCGTCGGTGGGGAATGACTCTCTATTGGTAGTGTGACGTTTGTCTACAGTGCTGCTGCTGGCCCTGCTCCCATCAGCTGACTCCCCCTGACTCCCCCCTCCCATCTGACCTGATCTTGCAGCCCTCCGTCTGTCCTCCTCTCCCCACATACAGCCTGCACGGCCTCCAGCTGCTTCATGTCCTCCTCCACCTTCTTCACAGGACTTCCTTCGCATGATGAACATGAACGTGTGTCAACAGGTGGACGTACGGGAGCCAAGTGATGAGAGTACAAACAAATAGAACAGCTCCACCTAAATATCTGATAAACTCTACTGTCCGGCTGAGTGCGTCTTTGTCCCCTCTGTGATCTCTAAGGAGGACCATTACAAAAGCTGCTGTCTGTGTGCACCTGTCCTACCTGAGGGAGGACACCTGCTGCCTGAGCTCATGAGCTGCTGTGCTGTCTGGGGACACTGAGCCGGTGTCTTTGTCCTGGCTGCTGAGGTTCATGAGCATGTCCTCTAGACTGTCCAGCTTTGGACAGACACATGGTACAGTCAGCATGAGACGCTGGTGCGTCCTCTGGAAGCTCAATTCTCTCACCCACCTTCTGCCGGTCTCCCATCAGGCCGTTGATCAGAGATCTCTGCTGGTTCAGCTGATCCACAACGTCCTCGGAGGAACCCGGAGAACCTACACGCACAATATGACACCGTGAGGACAAGTACACACCACATGGGGTAATAACACACAGACACCACATGGGGTAATAACACACAGACACCACATGGGGTAATAACACACAGACACCACATGGGGTAATAACACACAGACACCACATGGGGTAATAACACACAGACACCACATGGGGTAATAACACACACACCACCACGTGGGGTAATAACACACACACCACCACGTGGGGTAATAACACACTAAACGGCGGAGGAATGCCGAGGTCTCCTGAGTGCGGCGCAGCTAAGCAGGGTGTGACTGAGCGGTTGTGGCCGCGGGGGACAAGCAGACGGAGACACTCACTCGTGGTGGTGATGCGCTCTCTGAGCTGAGTCAGCTGTTCCCGGTCTGCCTTCCCTCCTTCCAGCGCAGTAACGCGCGCCTCCAGCTGGCCGACGCCCCTCAGGGCCTCCGGGTCCGGGTACTTCTGAAACGTGTCCCTCAGAGACCTCTGTCTCCGTGGAAACCCGAGAGGTCAGACTGATGAGCATTGGTGGAAAAAAGTAAGAGCAACGACTAATGTGACCTGAAGCAGGCGGCTGCCTCACCACAGTCTCCTCCAGAGCATCCACACGGAGAGGGCACGTCTGCACCTGGGAGGGGTCAGCTTCCACCTGCAGGACACAACACAGAGGAGACGTCCTGCAGCAAGAGGTAGCGTGGTTATCACGCATCTGCAACAACGTTAACGTGGCCTCAGGCTTCTCAACTCTACAGGATCTGTACTAGAGATTATAGTTAACATTGTATTAAAAACAGGCCACATTTAATGTGAATGAAATAAGACACTGAGGAAGGAGACGTTTAGTCATACATGTATATATACATACACACATTTATCTTGTGAAGCGTCTCACCTTCTGTTGGTGGCAGAGCTCCTTCATCTCCTCCTTCAGGTGGACTCTTTGTTCACGCAGCTCCTCAATGAGCTTCATGGCCTAAAGTCACATGACACCAACACTTATCAGTCATTGGACACCAAGTTTAGAGCGAAGAACCTGCGAGCAGTGTTCTCTTCCCCCGGCCCCCCTTCCCTGCAGCGGGTTCAGCAAAGCATTGTGGCGCTCCAGAGAGGAGAAGCTCCGCTCCCACTGGATAAAAATGTCTTCACCATGTAACCCCTGAACCCCCTCCTCACACCAGGATGGTTTGACCAAAGCTGGCACACGCCCCCTGTCATCACCTGTCAATCACTGTCACTTTGAAAACAGACGATGGAGTCGTGGTTGCAGCTGAACAAACAGCTGCACCGACTGACCGGGACCCTGGTATGTGCTCGTCCCTCCTCACTGAGAGCAAAACATAGAGAGGGTTGCTGGTTCGAGTCCCGGCTGCCCCAAGTCAAAGTGTCCCTGAGCAAGACACCTAACCCCTAATTGCTCCCTGGGCAAACATGATGTCATGTAAGTTACATTACATCATCAATAAAAGCTTCAGCTGTGATGACTCTTTCTCCGAAAGCCTTCACATCTTCCGCCGCAAACTAAAGACACACCTCTTCAGACTTTACCTCACTAACAAATTGTAGCACTTAAATTGTACTTGTAACGCCACTTATCTATAGCAAGTTGTAAATTGGCTTATTTGAGGTTGAATGCACTTATTGTAAGTCGCTTTGGATAAAAGCGCCAGCTAAATGACACGTGATGGAATGTAGACCCATCACAGCCTCGCGGGCTGCAGGAGACTTGCGTCGCTTTCGACACTAGTCTAGAAAACGGGTCGACGCACGAAAACACGCAGGGGGCTCTTGCGTCTGCGTGTCCTTGCGTCTCTCTGAAAACACAGAAGCATAAACTAGGCCTAAGCCAGAGGTCTCCACATGAGACGGCTTCATTCCACATCAGCTGTCCCTTCTCTAACAGCATATTTTAATTCCAGGGTTTGTTGGCAAAGTAAACGTGTGTGTGGGGGTTTGTGTGTCCACTGAAACAAGAGACATTCCTGGGATGTGAGTCTGTGTTTAACTTGTGACATCAGTGATGCAGAGCGGCCGCACAGAGCCTCAGAATGACTAACAGCTTGTTAATGAGTGCCGTCCCGCTGCGTGACCCCTCACTGACCGGCGTCCTCACTGACAGACGTCCTCACTGACCGGCGTCCCCTCACTGACCGGCGTCCCCTCACTGACCGGCGTCCCCTCACTGACCGGCGTGTCCTCACTGACCGGCGTCCTCACTGACCGGCGTCCCCTCACTGACATTACATTACATGTCATTTAGCAGACGCTTTTATCCAAAGCGACTTACATTACACTTTAAACCCATGGCTTTTTCACATTTTGCCCGGGGAGCAATCGGGGGTTAGGTGTCTTGCTCAGGGACACTTCGACATGGAACATGGGGCAGCCTGGAATCGAACCAACAACCTTGCGCCTGACCGGCGTCCCCTCACTGACCGGCGTCCCCTCACTGACAGACGTCCTCACTGACCGGCGTCCTCACTGACCGACGTCCCCTCACTGACCGGCGTCCCCTCACTGACCGGCATAGACTTCTTTGGGACCAGAGGGGTCGTCCCTGGTGGTCACTACAGAGAATGCAGCTTGTCCACATGGAGCTTCGGCTCCACCCTTCAGAGCCGGAGTTTTGTCTCCTGTTTCTAACAAACAAACCAGAACGAGGACCTCCTGGGGGGCAGGACTCATAACTCTTCTTCACTACTCTTTAACTTGTCGTCTCTGCTGGAGCAGTCAGCCGTTCACTGCCGGTTCACTTTGATGCAGACGGGGTGTGATGGGGGGGGGACGCCAGGTCACACCTCATAGTTAAGTCAGTGGATACGGCAGAGGACCCACACGATGCCCACAGAGGACATGAATGATTCAGGGGAGCATCACCTGCCCCACCCCCTGAGAGCTATTCTTCCCCTGACAACCACAGTCCTCTCTGCAACTAATTACCCCCAACACACGGAAGGGGGGGTTGCTCAGGAAACGGGTGCAGTGTCACAGACAACACCTCCACCTCTAACATCGGCGTACCTCCTCATCATTTCGGTTCATGGGTTTGTCTTTGAGACATAGAAGTGTGTTTCGGCCCGGGGACGATCCTCGGGGGGACAGGTCATTTGAGATATCCGGGGGACGATGTGCTGCGCTCCGTCATCGGCGGCCTGATACGATGCTGCCGTGCTCGCAGAGAGCTGCTGCTTTAAAGAGCGACAGGCTCTCTGCTGCTCCTCCTCATCGGACAGGAGCGAAACACCTGCTGTGACGTCACGGCGTGGGGGCGTGGCCTCCAGGGCAACATACCCAGGGGGAGTAACAAAGTACACAGTACAGGTTTGAGGTACTTGTACACACATATATATATGTATATATGTACTGAATATACAAAACAAAGCATCATAGATACAGATTCAGTATTTAGTGAATGAAGATACGGTTTGCAATGGGACTGACTCAATAGGACTAAAAAGTTTCATTTGTCGTTTTAAAAGTTTGGCAGCACTTTGATTTTAGCGCGAGATAAACGTGCAGTAAATAAAACACGTTGACTTTGTAAAACTCGTTTCATAAAGGAGAAGTTCTGATTTAAAGGAGTCGCTGCTCTCACCTTGAACACGCCGTCCTCGCAGGTCCGGATCCGGGTCAGCTGGTCGCCCGCCGCCGGTCCGGAGGAGGAGGAAGGCGAGGCTATCCGCTGCTGGAGCTCCTCGCCGGGCTCAACCTTCAGCTCCCCAGCACCGCCCCGCTCCGGGGCCCTCCACGGGGTGTCCCGCGCGTCCTTCCACGGGGTGTCACGCGCATCCTTCCACGGGGCGTCCCGCGCGTCCAGCCGGCGCAGCACGGCGTGGAGCAGCGCGTGCAGGGCGCTGAAGTTGACGACTCCTTTCTGCGGCGTCTCGATGGCGTCATTCAACAGGTCGAACAGTGTGTGCTCCGACATCCCGGTGACCGTTAGCTAGTTCAAGTTGAGTAACCGTTAGTTTAGGTTGAGTAACCGTTAGCTAGTTCAAGTTGAGTAACCGTTAGCTAGTTCAAGTTGAGTAACCGTTAGTTAGTTTAGTTGAGTAGCCGTTAGTTAGTTCTAGTTGAGTAACCTTAGCTAGCCGTTGCTCACTGACTCGCCGTGTGGATTAACAGTGACAGTATATTGAAGTGTCCCGTTTCCAGTCACTCTGGTGCGTTATTGGCGCGCGGTCGTCGGTCCGGCATCCCGCTGGTGTCGGTGGAATGTAACGACGTTCAACAGCAAACAGCAACCGCACCTGCGTCAAAACGACGCATTAACCGGAAACACAACGATTTCCCCTTCAAAGTAAAACAGACAATGAAGAAAATGATTTAAAAGAATGTTATGCTCTGCTTTTGTAATGGTTAGAATGTGACTGAGCCGCCCACATTACTGTAGTAAAGTACGTCAAATGTGAGGAACTTAATCTACAAATTGATTGAACTATTTTGATGGGTGGAGAATTTATTCACGGTAAAACATTTCATGATTAGCGGTGAAGGGGTCACTCTGGGTTCTGGGCTCTGGGTAATTGTCACGCCATGTCTCGCCATTTTTACTAATTAATCGATCGATCAACAAATTGAAAATAAATTGCAAATTAATCCAGCACCAAAAACTACGATAAAATAACGTTTTAACATCGATACATGTCTTAATAACCTATTGACAATAATATATAAAAGTACAGTTTTAAGTACTCAAACTATATTTTACTGACATACTGACACCCTGAGGTCACATTAAGTCTCTTAAGCCTCTCCAGTTGATTCAGAATGCTGCAGGACATATTACTCCTGTATGAACTTCTCCCTGTTGAATCAAGAATAGATTTTAAGGTACTTCTCCTCACCTACAAGGACCTTGCTGGTGAGGCACCGTCGAATCATAAAGAGCTTGTAACACTGTATTGCCCCACAAGGCAGCTGTGCTCCATAGATGCTGTTACTTGTTGTTCCTCGTGTTTTAAAAAGTAGGCTGGGGGCCAGACTAAAAAAAAACTGACTTTATTTCACAGAGTATTTGTGCTTTCTCTCCTCACAGGTTTCCGTCAGGAGACGGATCCTCCTCGGACGTTCACTGAGGTTTCTCCCCTTTCTTTCCCTCTTGGAAGGGTTTTTTGGAGAGTTTGTCCTGTGCCGATGTGAGCGTTTCGGGACAAAGGATGTCGCATGTCTACAGACTGTAAACCCCTCTGAGGCACATCTGCAATTTGCGATTTTGGGCTATACAAAATAAAATGAATTGAATTGAATTTAGGACATATACCTTCAATGAGGGGGATATTTTACTGTGTGGACCTAGTACATTTACTGTAACAGTAATTCTCACTGTGTGCTATAACTACTTTTACTGGAACTGAGTATTTCCTATGTGATATTACTTTTACTGTAATAGGGATTTTTTTGCCGGTTTTACTGTGTGGGGTGAGCAGTTCCTATGCTCTCACACGTGTGGCCTTTATTTTGAACTTATGACAGGATGTAGTATGTGCTACAGCTCTAGCGTGTCACTTCCTGCCTCACAGACCCACGTTGGGCTCCGCCGGCGGCGTTAGCGGTAACTAGGCAACAAGCGGGAGCCCTGCTGCGTTCATGCGTCGCAATTTCCTCTGAACAAACTCCCTATTTTATTGAAATGTTTTACTATTTAAAGTAAATGCTCAGAAAGCACACACTAATTAGTTTTAATGCTACGCTTAAATTACAGAGCCAAAAAGATTCTTTAACTTAATTTCTAGATGAATTAAACCTCCGCTCCGTGGAGGCACTGCAGGGGGGTCGCGAATTTTTTTTTTTTCCAACCATTTTTTTCCCCACAAATTTAAATGTCTTCAGAATCAGACTTGTATTTAAATAAACGTTAACATGAATCCAATATGTTGTAGCAAACAGATACATTGATGGAGGAGACGTTGTCTTTCAGTCCCACAGCAGCTCTCATGCTGATACGACGTCACAGGCACCAGCCAATCAGATCCGTTCATGCTCACGTCTAAAGAGCCACGCTCAAAGATGAAAGATAGTGGACCAAACTCCGTGGAATAGGGGGTCCCTGCTCCATCTCGCCATCAGTTTGGGGGTCCCTGGCCTGAAAAAGACCCCTGGTCCAGTACATCCTATTAATCACAGCGCTTTTATTTGTATTAACTTGTATTAGTATTGTCCAGATAAAAGCAGACGACGAAATGCTCAGAATAATATTTTATTGATAATAAAAACAAGCAAGCCAAAGTCTGGGTGACATTCTTAATTCTCACATATCATTATAAAATCGCGTCACAGTGCAGAAGTGTTTCCCGTAACATCCTCCAGATCGATACATCCGTTGTGTATCCAACACGATTTAGCAATAAATTCCTAGAACACGTGATGTGTTTCATTAGCGACACAAAACAAACAAAAGTAATAGGAGATATAATAAAGCTGACGTCTCACATTTTGGCATCAGAATTGAAAAGACAGAAGAGAGTCCAGTAAAGGAGTCACAAGTTGAAGGGGTGTGGGGCGTCCTACTCTTTGTGTGTGTACTTGAACACAACCTTCCTTCCTCATTAAACATGTGACGTCCTGCTTTGTTTACATTCATGCTTACGTTTGTTGGTGTTTGTCTACAGCTCACAATGCAGCGTAAACAGCGGTCAGAAAGTTCACAGTGGATCTGAAAGTATTAATATTTACTATTTATGGTCGCAGCAATAATAATTAAAATAGTCTCTGAACTCAGCCCCTCAAACGGACCGTCTACTGCTGCTATTTGTCACATTTTAAATGGCACATTTTGGGATGCTTGGACTTTTGTTTTGAACAAAAAAAAAAGCATGAATGGATGATGAAAATATAAAATGAACCTTCAACAGAAAACCTGAGTAACAAACGGCTGGTGGCGTTGGGGTAAAACATTGCATTGTGGGAACTATGGGTGCTTTGCATCAAGTCACCGGACCGCCTCTTTAAGCCACACCCATGTTTCTATGTGATGGATGAGGATCACTTTTCTGCTCATTATATTATAAAGATAACTATTACAGATACATCAGGTCAGTATGTGACAGGTGGAGAAGATGTTTCCCTTTGACCACCTCCTCCCCAGCAAGCAGATGATCATTTCACTTTAGATACACAAAGACTTAAAACGGACTCAGCGAGTCACAAAGGAACAAGAAGAGACACAAGTTTCACCCACATAAATAAGTTCCCTGGTCTGGGGAAGATTTGTGTGCATTGCATGACTTACAGGAGAGAGGAGGAACTTCAATTAAAATCAGTTTTTTTTTTATTGTCATCAACTCCCATGAAAAGACAAATCAGAATTCCGGGTGTTCGAGTGAGTTTAACGTCTGTTTTAATGGATCAATATTTCTTAAAAGTTGGCTTTGGTCTTTTCATGGGAATAAATATGTAGAATATCTCGAGACCTGCAGCAGCTGCACACAAATCAAAGCCAGAAACCTTCCTCACAGACGGTCCGATAGCAGCTGTGTTTATGTCAGCGTGACGCCCTCTCAACAAAAAGGGCCTTTTTTTTGTTTCCGTCTCAGTGAAGTCGGGACACATTGGTGCCGATTGGGTTCAGACGCAGAGGCCGTGAGGAACTAGAACGAGCTTCATCTGTTTGACTGTTAATTACAGGCAAAAGGTTCTAGAGGCTTATACAGGTGAAAAAAACAAACGTACCTCAGCATCAGACTGGCGTACGCCCCCCCCCGTCCCCCCGTCCCCCTATCATCATCATCATCATCTTCATCAGATGCTGTCATAGTCGGACTCCCTCCGGCTGGACTCGGCCCTCCACTCGGCCAGGAAGAAGGTGACGGAGCCCAGGAAGCCCGTCAGCACCATGATGAGCAGCTGCCAGTGGAGCAGCAGTAGTTGCTGTAGAAGAACGCCATGGCGGCCATGATGGATTGCAGGGGAGGAGCTTCGTTAGGGGGGGGTGGTGTCGAAGAAATAGCTCAATTTGAAAGGTTGGATAAACTGTCACAGTGCTGAACATAAGAATCATATATTTATTCATGTTTATTTTAAAATCCAATAATACTTCATTATGTGTCAGTTTGTCACAACAGTAGTGGGATTCCTTTTGAGAGGTCCCGGTGACCTTTGACCTTTCTCCAGGTTGACTGTAGTTTAAACTGTTTTGAATATTTCCCCGGCTGTGTACTTTAGCTTGGAGCCCGTCGCCGTGGTAACCGGGCCTCTGGCCAACCAGTGACTCACCTGGATGAACTTGAAGACGGCGAAGGCCGGAGCGCTGTTGTCGTGGAAGGTGAAGCCGATGATGCTCAACAGCTGAGTGTTGAAGCAGCTGTCTCCTAAACCGAGGAGGAAGCTGCAGAGGAGGGCCACGCCCACACTGGGGGGGGGGGGGGGGGCATTGTGTTAAAGACATGAGGACTCTTTCTGGATGACATCAGACTTTGATCCTTCAGTGAGAAATGTCCATCTCCTGTAGGAGTACTTGTACCTGATACTGATGTACACTTGTACCTGATACTGATGTACACCTCCCGTAGGAGTACTTGTACCTGATACTGATGTACACCTCCCGTAGGAGTACTTGTACCTGATACTGATGTACACCTCCTGTAGGAGTACTTGTACCTGGGGCTGATGAAGGCCTGCAGGTCCGTCCCCCCCTCGGGGGCAATGGGGGCGTCGGGGGCGATGTTGAGGAAGATGAGGTAGAAGGCGGCGTAGTGTGTGACGAGGCCCAGCAGCACCACCGGGTTCCTCCCAAAGCGACTGCAGCGGTTCATCATCCCGAACACGCCCCCCCCTGCTCAGACGGGGAGGAGTCAGGAAAGTCAGCAGTGTACTGTACTACTACATATAGTACTTTATACTGCATCACCTCAGACGTAACTTTGTACTAACTCTCAGAGGTAAATGGGTATTTTCAGTGTGTACATATATTATTTTGTACTTAGTTCACAGTGTGTACATATATTATTTTGTACTTTGTACTGGGATAAAGTACCTAAGATCTCCCCGATGCCGATGCAAATCCCCGAGAGGCCGATCAGACTTTTGGCGTCGTGTCCGAAGCGCGTCATGGCTCCGATACACGTCCCGTACACGCCGCTGTAGAAGGTGAGCTCCAGGCCTGACGGAGCAGACGGAGGCATGAACCACGACTCATTTCATCACCCCCCCCCCACACACACACCTGAACCGCCTCACCTGTGTATCCGATGGAGACGCTCAGCAGCAGCATCTCCGGGGTGGCGAACATTTTACAGGCCTTCACTGAGAGACAGACGGAGGGGGGGGGGGGGGGGTCAACGGCGTTATGATGGAGGTGGAGGTTGGTTTTTAATAAACTCACCAAAAGCTTCCAGAGCTTGTGACCAGAGGCCGGGGCGGGCCGAGCTGTGACGAAGAGGAGACATTAAGATGATGAAGATTAGACGTCTTTCGTCATGGCAACGGTCTCACAGCGGGTTATTAGAAATGTGCTGCTTCCAGGTCCCCCAGGCCCCCCCAGCCCCCCCCAGGCCCCCCCAGACCCCCCCAGGCCCCCCGGGCTCCCCTTTGATCACTCACCCTGCTCCGGAGCAGCTCTCGGTGGAGTCGGCCTGCAGCAGCGACTCCGCCGCCTCGTTGGCAGCTGGTTCTGGATCCGGCTTCCGGATGAGAAAGAAGAGGAAGCAGCCCACCAGACTGATGACGGTGAGAGAGATGAACACCGTCTGACGGTCCTTGTCTGAGACACACGGTGAGTCAAAATGAAACGTCTCTCAGAATAGCCGTAGACACTCGTGTGCATCTCGGGGGGAGATCTGGTGAAAGCTTCCTACCTGTGATGTGGTCGTGTCCATGCCAGGCAAAGTAGATGTAGAGGTTTCCAAAGAACAAGCTGCAGAGAGACGAGGGAGGAGGGGGGGGGGTCTTCATTGAGAAAGCAGAGGTAGCCAAACAAACCCTGAGCTTAGGTCCCAGGACACGGTTCAAAGAGGTTCACCTGAACTGCAGCAGCGCCCAGAAGATGCCGCTGTTCCTTCCTATGGTGTTCTCAGAGGAGTTGATGGCCAGCACGTTGCCCTGAGCCGTCCACAACACTTGACCAACACACAGAGGGAGACATGTGAGCGCCCAGCCGACGCCTTCTCCCAGGCCGAACCCGCCGGGCGACGCCCCCCTTTACCTGCCGCTCCGACTCCCACCAACACGGAGGCCGTGTAGAAGCTCCACGTGTACGGGTAGATGAACATGGCGATGTAGCCGCTGCAGGGAACCACAGAGGAGACGTCAGAAGGTTACGTGACACGTGTGAAGGAACGAGACGGGCGGGGGGGGGGGGTACGGGGGGGGGGGGCTACCTGTTCAGAAAGCCCCTGAAAAAAATGGAAAACTGCGGCCCCATGACAGTCACCACGGAGGGGGCGATTCTGTTGGAGGCGGAGAAGACCCCGTAGATGATGGCCATGCTGCGGGGAGGGGGGGGGGGGGCACACGGTCATATGAGGCAGGGGCCCTAGCGGGGAGCTGGATGTTTTCTGGGCTCTGAAGCACTGACCTGGTGTAGCCGCTCCCGTGGAAGTCGGTGCTGTTGAAGCTCTTGAGAACCGTTTGCTAGAAGGAGGCAGAGAGGAGACCGCTGAGGAGCGTGTGGTCCATCGGGGACGTCCTTCACAAACACCACCTACCTCGATGTTGCCGCACGTTTGAAAGGCGGTGAACATGAACATGAAGCCGAAGCCCAGGATCACGATGTTCAGCAGCTTCTTCCCCTCTGGACCCATTTTGTTTGTTTGGAAACACCTCCAGGAATCTGTTGTTTATCACAAACACACATGAAAGAAGGGACAGGTTTCAGGTTATTGTGTCTTCACTTATAGATACAACATGACCTTTGATCATAAACACCTCAGCGTACACAACGGGTCCTGATGGATAACAGCCCAGTCGAGGTCTTCCAACTTAAGGTTGGGCCTGAACATTTTGGGAAATGGATGTATGGCGGATTGTGAGGCGGCTCGTTTGGATTTTAACATCACCAGAATGTTTTCCGTGTGATCATGGCAGAGTGTTTAGTGAGTGCGTTTAGTTGTTAAAACAAAGAGGGAAGCACGAGACCAGGACGGACCCAGAGGTGTACAGAAGACAACCACAGAAGCAGACTCACCAGCCACGCCGCAGCCCCTCAACCCGCCTCGGAGCCTCTTCGCGCGGACTCACGCTGCAAACATAGTCAGCTTCACCGGAAGTCCCGATGTCCTACAACTAACTTCACGTGATGGTTCCGATCGAGTACAGCAGGGATTACGTGGAACAAGTTTCGGCAGAAACTAGAACGGGCGGTCATGTGAATGAATCAGCTGACTGCCGTGACGCGCTGGCTGCGCTTCTAGCGAAGCAAAAATTCGATTTACAAACGTATGAAGCTGAGCGAGGTCACTTGCAACGAATCTGCTTACACCAATCCAGTTATGCGTAGTTAGTTCATGGAAATCAGATTATACTTCCGGTCACGTGTTAAATAATTCAACGTTGCTAATTTGCCATAAACGTCATTAATGCTAAAGATACATATTTACAATGTAAAGAAATAATTAATACATTATTGCTTTAAAAAAGCTGTTCGTTTTGGGGTAACGGCTGCAGTTCGCGAGTGAGTCAAACTACTTCCGGTTAACAATAAAAAAACGCACGTACGAAAATGAACCCTTTCACCAAAGTAATGTTTTTAATAAATCGGGTTTACGCGTAGTGGAGTATTTTGACTTAGTCTGTGCTAAGTAAATCATACATTTCCACCACTGTATGCTATTTTTAAGCGTGTCTTCATGTTTGTGCCGGTAGAGGCTTCCGCCAGAGGGCGCAGTGCGCTCGCCCTGAGACCGGGGAACGCCTCCGCGCTCAGCAGCAGAAGAAGAAGCTCCCTCCGCAGGTTTGGGGCAGTTGAAGAGCGCGAGGCGGATAGAGCAGTGCGGCACGAAGCCTCGTGTTTTCCGGTAGTTGCTCCACAAGAACACTCCAGGCTACTCGAATCCGTTTAAATCACAGCCTCGCAGGCGTGTGGGGACGCGTGGACATTTCACGAGCTCCATCGCAGCCGATCATTTACCGTCGCAGAGGAAGGCCGCTAGGCCTCAGCGCGTCATCGCCATGAGTTACGGTAGGCCTCCGCCAGACGTCGACGGTATGACTTCCCTCAAAGTGGACAACCTGACATACCGGACGTCGCCCGAGACCCTGAGACGGGTGTTCGAGAAGTACGGCCGCGTGGGGGACGTCTACATCCCCCGGGACCGCTACACCAAAGAGAGCCGCGGGTTCGCCTTCGTGCGCTTCCACGACAAACGCGACGCCGAGGACGCGATGGACGCCATGGATGGCGCGCTTCTCGACGGACGGGAGCTGCGTGTCCAGATGGCCCGATACGGCCGACCCCCTGATTCCCACTACGGGGGCAGCGGCGGCGGAGGTGGTGGCGGCGGCGGAGGAGGCGGCGGAGGCGGCGGCGGCGGAGGAGGCCGAAGAGGAGGGCCTACCAAGAGATACGGCGGCCATGGGCGCAGGAGCAGGAGGTAAGAATGCGCGCGTGCGAGCTAACTGTTAGCAGCTAGCAGCCAGACTCCATTAGCTCATCTGCGTGTTCCGCGTGTTCGCGGTCTGTCGACCGACGCGTCGAACAAAAGAAAACAACATGGCGGATTTCACGGATCCAGCTCTGCACACATTAGATGCAGAATGAGAGTTTTGAAAATGTAGATTTGACCGCTAAATCTCCTGCGTATTGTACGTATTAACGAACATTTTCGTCTATTGTAAATGTTTTAAGTCGTTTTAATGCCGGTAATACAAACTATTAAAACTGAGCGGACCATGAATACTTCTAGTTTGAGGATGTTTCATCTACTAATCCAGCTAATCTGTCCCGCTCGTGCGTCCAGCTCTTCCCCCAGCCCGAGGCACAGGAGACGCAGCCGGTCCCGCAGCAGGAGCCGCTCTCGTTCCCGAAGCCGGTCCCGTTACAGCAGATCCCGCTCCAGGTCCTACTCCCGCTCCAAGTCCCACTCCCCCAGGAACAAGAAGGTCAAGGCAAAGTCCCCATCTCGTTCCAAATCCAAATCAAAGTCCAGATCCAGGTCCCGATCCAAGTCTAAGTCCAAATCAAAGTCCAAGTCCAAGAGTCGCTCCAGAAGCCACACCCCCGCCTCCAAAAGAGAGTCCAGATCGAGATCCAAAAGCCCGCCCAAGTCCGCAGCAGAGAATGGAGGCGAATCCCCGTAGAGCTCAGGAGCAGGTGAGTTCTGCCCAGTAGCTGTTATAGGTTTGATTCCGTTGTCTCTTGTGTAAAGTCATTAGTGGCTGCAGACTAGCAGACTAGCTCCAATGGCCGCGACCGGTAAGTGTGTCCCCTCCAGTCAGCACAGCCCTCACCATTTACATCTAGGGAAATTACCTCTAAAAACCAAACTACCTGTTTTTAATCGACAGTTTACACAGTCACATGTTCTGTCATACTCGGTGTGCAAGCTCTTCATTTTCACTGACTGCAAAGCATCGTGTTTGTCAAGGAGCGCCCTGTAAACCCAAATCTGGACTTCTCTCCTTCCTAAGCTGCGGCATCCTGTTTGCTAAAGTGGAGTTTGAGCTGAGCAGAGGCAGTATGAGCAGTTAGAAGGGATGTGGTGAGCTGTCCACAGGCCGCCTGCTGCTGCTGCTGGTGGTGGTGTGCAGCAGGGTGGAGGTGGAGGCAGTCAGAGTTGGGGTTTGGTGTCGAGGTACGTCTGTCTGTGTTTCCGCCACTGGACACACAACTGTCCGCCGGGCGGTCGCCAAGGGACCACATGAAAATAATATAACTACATGTATTTATACTCTATAGCTTTACGCATCGCTGATTACCAATCTGAGCTCTTAATCAGCTGAACCGCCTCCTGTAGGCCACTGACGGTTCATTATGTAGTGACTTAATCAGTAACCGCTAGTGTCAATCATTCAGGTCCCCCCCCGGTTGAGCCGTGAGATCTCCTATTTGGAATATATATTTAAAGCAAATATTTATTTTACTTCCATTGTCATTGTGAGCGGTCTCACATCTGCTCCTCTATTGGCTGCCTGTCCAATTGGAGGGAAAAATGCTCTAAAACCAGAAACTGGGCAGTTGGTAATAACTGGAGCAAAACGCGGTAAAATAAAATCCGCCTACGATTAGGACCTGAGGATGAAATCTTGTCCCCAGCGGAGATGTTCGAGGCTCTCGTCACGTAGATAAAAAAAAAAAAAACAAGTCAAACCATGGATGTGCCTGTTTGTTGACGTGATGAAGACGAAGCTAACTTGTCCTTCCACAGTTCTCAGGTGAAGACGGAGCGTCGAGTCGTCCCCATCCGGCCTGAGCCACAGTGTCCTGCTGTTGAAGGTTATTATTGTGTCTTCCATGCTTTGCTTTGTTTTATTGATTTGGCCTAAAAAAAAGTCTGTCGCCTCATTGATGTGCTGTGATTTTATTTTCATAAAGATTTTAAAATCTGGGTCGATGTGGAGATGAGTTGGTGATATAATCACAAGTTGGTAGGTTTGTACCTGTTGTTGTTTCTTTTGTTCTCTTTGGGCCCAACAGAACCAGTATGATCCTGGATTAGCTCACTAAAGCTCCACTTGTCCCACACGACGTCATAACAACCACAACAAATGGGAGGAGCTAAAGATACTTTTAGTACAGTTGATCTAATTATTCCACTAAGCGTTTGTGCTGATGTGTAAACGTTTCTATGACTGGCTGATTATTTTCTACATTTGATTGACTATAAAGTTGATCAATCGAATATGTACGGATTTATTTTCTTTCCCTCGCTGTTTGGTTAGTCTGATGGTGGTCTTGTCGGTGCGGTGAGAGACCACCAGTCCTGTGGAGATGTACCTTTTTTTTGTTTAAGTTAGCGTATTGTCATTAAACTCAAACGTTACATAATTAAATCTCCCTGGACGCTGACAACCTGATGCAGGGTTTTTTTCCCTTTCTGTTTTTGACCTTAATCCTGCTTGTGTTTGTTTTGTGCATCAGGCGCAGTTGTGTAGCCGTTGAGTTGTGCTGGTTAGCTGTTAAGGTGGCGTGTTGCTCTGCTGAGTGCTTGGATGTATCCAGTATTCTCCAGAGTGCTCCTGTGACTACCAGTGGTGCGGCCGCTGCTGTCCCTTTGTAAGACATGCACCCCCCCCAAATGTGCTCATGGATGACAAATGTGACTTTCATTAAAGATTTGGTGTTTTGTCTAAAACTGCTTGTTTGATTTTTGGGCATCATGAAGACGAGTTTATTATATAATACAAAACCAACTCGTGAGCTGAAGTCAGTGCATAAAATACATTTCAAAGTATCAGGCTGAAATAAAATGGTGGAAACTCAGCCAGGCATTAAAATAAAAATCCCTCACCTGTCAGCAAAATTCGCAGTTTTGAAACCAAAATAGGTAAGTTTTTTTTGGGGGGTGGGAGGGGGTTATGGTGGCAATTCAGATTGATGCGCGCATAAATCAAACATCCGCGAGCAAAAGTCCGGTTTCGCGTGAAGGAGTTTTCTACGCGCTCGCTGTTCTGACTGAGGGGGCGGAGCCAGTCACCAGGGTCTCCACCTGATTGGTTACAAACCCCGTCTTTGGATTGGCCCGCCCATTTCCGCACTGAAGGAGATAAAAAATCCAAATGAGAACGTCAAAACACCAACACCTCTAACGGTAGTGGACATTACATTACAGGTCATTTAGCAGACGCTTTTATCCAAAGCGACTTACATTACTTTAAACCCGTGGCTTTTTCACATTTTTGCCTGGGGAGCAATTAGGGGTTAGGTGTCTTGCTCAGGGACACTTAAACATGGGGCAGCCTGGAATCGAACCAACAACCTTGTGCTTCCCTGCGCCACGACGACCCCAGATGACAACCAGGAAGGGAGCGCGAGATCGTCACTGAATCTCTTCAGGGACTACTCCGGAATATCGTGAAAAATATTGAAATTACTGACTAGTGCTGCAGGCGGAATATGCGCGCGGGGGTTAGTGATCTACCCATAGTGTTACAGGCAGAATATCTGGGGGGTGTGGCGGCGGTTGCACGTCAGTGGGGCGCAAATTACTTTCTATTCAGAATGGTCCCTGGGACAAAACCAGTTGAATTTCACCCTTGACTCGTGCCTGTCAGCATACGGTTGTGGCCATTAGACCTTTAACTCTGATATCGGAAACTCATGTCCTCTAAAAGTGGACCAATACCTGAGTCGGCAGATGAACTCGTCGGGGGTTTATAAGGATCGATGCAGAACTGAAGTTCCTGCACTGACACCTGCCCATCAGTAACGTAGTCGCAGCTAAAGGAGCCATGTTGGTTAAGTGTCTTGCCAAAGGACACATCGACATGCGGGCTAGCCAAGCCCGGGATTGAACCGCCAACCCTCTGGAGGGCGACCGTGCCGCCACGTTAACAGATGTAAAGTCTGATTTTGTACAAAACACAACACCCCAGTAACCATGACAACACTGCACCATATGGAGACTCAATGTTTTATTGAAACACCTTGAAGTACAAAACAAAAGTTACATGAAACTGCCTCCTCGTGGCACAAGACCTAAAAAGAAAAATTTAAAAGGATATAAACAAAAAGGGGAAAGGGAGGGGGGGTCATCACCACTCATCCCTGATGTTATGTGGAGCTGCAGTGGTGAGTCTTTGTGAGACCAAGCCTGTCCCCTGGTGTAGAGGGGGGGCGGTGGGGTTACACAATCTCATGTTTGTCAGAGGTAATTCACGTGTTAGCTAGTAGGAGCTGGTAGGGTGGCAAGGAAGGAGGGCGACAGCAGCACATAGAGTGGGGTGGGGGGGGGGTCGATGGCCTTCGAGGAAAGGGCTGCTAGCAGCTTCTAGAAGCCGTGGACTTTGAGCTGCTCCTCCTTGGCCAGGCCAATCTGTGAAGAAGCAGAGAGCAATAAATAAAAGGCAGCTAGTCCGCTCTGCTGCATGAAGCTGGGAGACAGACACTCACCTCGATGAGGAACTGGCAGATATTCTTGCGCTGGTCTCCCTGAAGCTGGATCACTTCACCATACTCTGGGTGCTCAATCACTGTCCCATTGCATGCAAACTTCTGCAATGGCAAAAACAATGAGTCAGTGTTTGAGGAGGCCGAGCAGCCCCCCCATGAAGCAGGGCTCCGTAAACGCTGACAGGGCGTCAAGACAGCAAAAACTATTTCATTTCCACCTTCGGGACTCACCTTCTTGAAGGCCTTGACTAGCTTCTTCTTGTCATAGTCGATGGCGATGCCCTGGACAGTGGTGAGGGTCTTTCTGCCGTTCCGCTGCTGGATTCTTATGTGGATATAGTCCTCTGTCCCGGCTGGGAGGCGGTCATCACCCTTAGTTGCATCAGCAAAGGGGTCTGCAGGAGAAGGAGCGGTGACTACACATCTCATTTTCACATTTCGCTTACATTTGGCCGAACGCTGGAGGATGAACTGCGCATGCGTAGCAAGATGAGCGTACAGCTGCAGGCCCGGCCGAGCCGGGCAGCGAGCCGACGCCGAACGGGACCAGCTACCAACCGGGAACGCACGGGAATCACCGTCATGACAGCTTTTAGTTTGGATAATTCCCTACGGCGTCACAGCTGGTTCTAAAGGGCTCATCCGTTATCCAGCGGCCATTTTCGTCTCTACGCCTACGCGTCGGAAGAATAAGCTAAGCTAGCGCAGCGGCGGCCTAATGGCGGCACGTTGGGCGAAAGGCCTGCTAGTCGGCTACAACGATCGAGTTCAATCGGGACATTTCGGGTTATCGGTGTTGAACATTAATACCCAATCGATTGCTTTCGGAATTTGTGTAATTGTTTAAGAAAACTGGTAAAACCTCGACGTGTGTGCGAAGCTAGCGGTCGGCGTAGCGGCTTCTCGCCCTTCCCCCACCTTGTCTGCCGGTTCGGTTCGATTATGACGACTTACCAAAAGTTTGGAGGTTCTGGATATCGGACATACGATAAGATTTACTTTCCTTTCGGATAATAACTTGGTTAGCGAGCGGTTCGTTAGCTGACTGTGACCTTTGTGTCGTTTCTAGGTTTTTCGCCTGTTCTCGGAGGACGGTGGTCGGCTCAGCTTCGACGACTCTCACAAAATGGAGCTCCTCGCAGGCTGCAACGGGAAAACAAGTCTTTATAGCCCCGCCCCGAAAGGAACGTCATCACGCAATTGACGTACGAAAGGGTCGTCTTCTGCTACCGCGCCCCAATGTTGCTCAACTTGTTGAAATATGACGTCATCCTGTCGCAATATTTGCGCATCAAGAACACGGCCAAAAATAAATTAATAATACACGTGTACACAGTAGAATTAAGAAATAATAGATGCGAAATGAAAATGTAATTAAATATAAAAAATACGGTTCAAATAGTAAATATCAGTGTAAAATAGAAGAACAATAACAGGAAAGCAAATTAATACAGTTAAAACAAATAGATGCTTACGGATTTCAATTAATGATATTGGAACGGAAATGAATTTAAAACGTTAAAACTATTCGAAATTGCATTCGAAACAGCACTCGAAATTGAAAGGTATTCTGCACGAAGTTGATCAAAATATTTGGTGGTATTTTAGGTTTTACGAAGGTAAAGGCTCCAAGTACTTCTATCGCTGACTTTACATGAAGTAGCCGAGGGTTTATGGTGCGCGGGTACTTCGGCTTAATAATACAACAATACACGGTGCTCCGGTTCTGCCCCAAGCCGCCCGCAACTTTATTTTCACTCCCCACAACACCTCCGTTGAACACTTCCACTACTTCCTCTCCTCCACAATAAAAGCACCCACACCGGAACACAGTGTAATAAGAGCTTACAATGAAAACACCACAACTATGTACCTTGCCCTTCGCGCTGCCGTGCTCCTTCTTTTGTCCCTTCTCGGGATCCTTCCGGGTCTGCCTCCATGGCAACGCTGGTGCCGCCACGGCTAATTCCATTTGTTTACAGCAGAAAAGGTTCTTTTAATCAAAGTAACGACACGACAAGATGCTGTGACCTCACTTCGACCGTAGCGGTGTTTATTTGTATAGATCACGGGGCATTTGTGAGAACACGTGACGCTACAGAACGGTGGGATGTTGTTAGCTGCCATTGAAATGTAGCGTTAGCTAGCTACAGCGCTAACTAGCTAACGTTCAGCCACTAGGCCAACTTACTTTCCCCTGTGCGGTGTTTTGGGAGCAGTATTGTTGAGCATTGTAAGCATTACATTTTAGTAGAAAGTAGGATACAACAGATGTATTCAGGTACAGAACATGTGCCTCGGGGTTAGTACTTCAGTAAATGTAAAGTCACTTAGATTCCAACATTTTAACGAAGGAGAAAAAACTGTTCTCCTCCCTGATATAAGCTGCTTGTCCAAGGGGACTTCTCACAGAGAAGAACCCAACACCTGTAAGAAAGAGCCCGTTTCCCCCCGTATACGAATACTTTCCTCCCCACAGGCTTCTGTGGATGGGGGTTCTGTCTGATGGTGGTTCTATGTGATGGTGGTTCTATGTGGTGGTGGTTCTGTCTGATGGTGGTTCTATGTGGTGGTGGTTCTGTCTGATGGTGGTTCTATGTGGTGGTGGTTCTATGTGGTGGTGGTTCTGTCTGATGATGGTTCTATGTGGTGGTGGTTCTGTCTGATGGTGGTTCTATGTGGTGGTGGTTCTGTCTGATGGTGGTTCTATGTGGTGGTGGTTCTGTCTGATGGTGGTTCTATGTGGTGGTGGTTCTGTCTGATGGTGGTTCTATGTGGTGGTGGTTCTGTCTGATGGTGGTTCTATGTGGTGGTGGTTCTGTCTGATGGTCGTTCTATGTGGTGGTGGTTCTGTCTGATGGTGGTTCTATGTGGGGGTGGTTCTGTCTGATGGTCGTTCTATGTGGTGGTGGTCTGTCTGAATTGAAGTGAAATGAA